AAATAACAATAATCCGGAACGTTATTAGGGTAAGTTACTCTCATGCTAGATGACCTGCACTAAACGGGTAGAAATAACGATAATCTGGAACGTAATCATTAGAAAGGAGTGTCATCCATTCAGTATTTCTTGATGTTGAAAAATATGCATCAATTTATCATCAACTAAGTAGTTTGAACCATTTGATATTCTGCTATCCTATAAGAACATGTATATGTTAATAATATGTTGTAGAAATAATACCTGTAAATAGATGTCCTTACCTTTACATCTTTTGTTAAGCCTAAACGAAAACAATTCAACTGTTACTATTTTTCGTTACAGCAAGAAGCTGAAGAGCACCGGAATAGTATCACCACCTGTGCCTTAAAAGCTGAAGGCTGGGTAAGTTCATCTTGATGAGGAAGAGGTTCCACCTCTGAGTTCCAGGTGTCGCAATCTTGTAAAAAAGTCATCTTAAAATGTAAAAGAAAAAATTAATTTAAAAAAGTTATCTTAAGATGTAAAAGATAAATACCCCCCCCCCCAAATCATATTTTTTTTGGTAATTAAGTGTGTTTTTTTACAACCCAATAACTCTATTTAAGAGCATAGTTGTGTATTAAGTTATAATGTTTACTTTTTTTTGCTTATAGTTCGACGCAAGCGGGAAATACAACTTCGAAAAAGCAAAAAATGAAATTATAGAAAAAGGTTTGGGGTCAGATGTAAGTAATCCAACAGTTGAACTTTTAATTTAACACGCATCCAGTTAAGCAAAAATTTACTTAAATATATATATATATATATATAAAAAACTCACTCCAAATGTATCTTCCACTCACTACTCTGACATCTGTTGTGAAAAAATGATATATTACAAATAACGGAAAATAATATTTTATTCATTACTTTGTTTTAATATGACTTCGGTGACAACAGTTTTTCCTATATTTAGTGCTGTTACCACGGCAACTGAGTTACAATAAATTTCACCGCAAGGTGAATAACACGTTCTAGCACGTGTAAGAAAAGAGTAGACCGTTTCAGTTCTAATTAAAAGAGCAAATTTATCAGTTCCCAGAAGACTAGAGTGAAACGTGTTTCTAGACAGTTAGACCTGACATCATTCAAATTAAAAGCTATTGTGTACCACATACTATTTATCAGATGTTCTAGACCAGTGTTTCTCAAACTATGGTCCTCAACACCGAGTTTCCATATTATAGTTTAAGAAAACGAAACGATACCATGTTCGATTAATTATAACCAATTAAAATAATGTATTATTTAAACAAAATTTAAACGTGTACACTTATTTACGTCACCGCTGCTTTCATACACTCTAGAATAAGTTTCTGCAGATAGACTTATCTGAACATAGGTACCACGAGATCTTTTTGATTCGTGGAGAAGTCCTTAAAAAGGGTATAGAGAACCACTGTTCTAGACTATACTATATTTATAAAAAAAAGTTGAAGCTAATAATACTTTTTTCTTCAGGTCCAAACAGAAGTTTTGAAACACCATGATGCTTGTAGAAGCGAAGCCGTAAGTATATGTCAGCTGTTAGTTGATGTTTAATATTCAATTAAGACAAAAAAACTGGTTAACTTTTGGTGAGATATTTCATTTATTTTAAACTATTAAACTCCAAGGCTTACTAATCAACGATTTTCATCATTAATTTGCTCAGTCCAAATTTCTGGGCTTCGACTATCATTAATGTTGTTTATTATAATTTTCATCTAAATATCTTTTGTGGTCTATCGAATGCAACTAAACGATTGGTTTTAAAAACACATTCTTAAGTTAACTGGGGGCACTTTAGTATTAAACACCTCTATGTAGTAATATTCTTCACGTAATTCTATTTCTTTTAAAGTAAAACAAACAGCGTGAAATTGCTTTTGTACTGTTTTCCTATTTGGACTTGTAAAAGAGAAAGACTGAGATGTTGTATAATCCTCTAACTAAGTATAGTTAAGTATACGTTTTTTTTCATACGCAATAGATAAATTCTGCTATACAGATCACGTTGGTGAGTTAATATGACATATTCTTCTCTTTCCTTTTAGGAACAGAAGTTTCCTAACTCTTACATTCAACAGGTGAGTAAACCCTTTCCCGCCAAAATGATACTTTAATATTTTATTCTATTTATTGAAATTCTATTAAAGAGCTGAACAGAATAAGGAAAAAAAAATGATATCATAAATACATGAACAGTGATTCTTCAGATTTACCACATGTTAACCAATGAAAACATCTGTTGAATACTGTATCTTTATTTTATTAATTCTTCTTTATTCCATTTTAACTGCTAATCAAAGTTGTGACCTCTTACCTGAGTAAATTGTATTGGATATTTATTTTAATCGTGTGGAAAATGTTAAGACAATATAATCTTGAATGCTTATTTTATATCGTATATGAACCGACTTTTCTTTATTTATAGTTGTTTTGTTTGTTACTACATTTTAAAACTTCCTTAAACCCTATAGTTCCCTAGGACTGACCCTACGGTTCAAAAGGACTGACCCCTATAGTTCCCCCGGACTATATTACTGCTCACATTCAAGAATTATTAGGAACACCATTGCAGTTAAACGTTTCAGAGAATAAAAAAACTTGATATAATATGCAAGAGCATTATTAACACATAAATAATCATAAGTGACATTATAAACGGTCAGACATACTTGCGTAATTCTACAACAAAATATTTAAATTATCATTTTCATCGATAAGTGACACATCGCTGTTCATTTTATTTCAGGTCCAACTCTATCAGGCCTGCATGGACGTCCACATTTCTCAGGTAAATAACGTTTCTGAAATCACCTTAAGTTACTAAAGAATTGCAAGTATTATCATCGATAAGGTATAGCAGTATGAAAACCCTTCATCTTTTATACTCTTGTATTTAACAAGACATTCGAAGTATAATTTACAGGGGAATGCATTACTCTGATAATTCCCTTATGCTTCTTGGCTTCGGATGAGCTGCAAATACGTCAGGCGTGTATAATCGACTGTCAAGGGGTTTCTTTGATTGTTTTAAACGTAAAGCTATACAATGAGCTATGTCAACTGAGGGGATTCTACCTCGAGCTTAGCCACCGAGGGGAGGGGGGCAAAGGAAAGGCAAGTTAAAAATGTAAGTGCCAAGTTTATGTTGGAGAGCTTAGTTTGTCATTTTAATTACCATTTTCTTTATCAGAATTCTCATTTCTGATTAAAATCGTCTTAGAAAGAGAGAAAGATCCTCAGTGTGTCAGAGGTAAGTCTACGGACTTACAACGCAAAAAGCTGGGGCTCGATTCTCTGCAGTGGTCAGAACGTATAAAACAAACGAAAGTGAAAAAACAAAGTGGCTCAATAGGAAAAAGTTTTAAACTTAGATGCCATTTTAATTAAATCTTTCCTTACATAATTCTTTCTTGAAATAGGATTTTGTTTTGGAATTAGTATTCAGGAACAATTTTTATAAAGGCTTATCTAATAATATAGACTTTGTTATAAACATTACAAATATTTTCTATTCAGAAAACTACCTTAAAGGTTTGAGTTTTTGCTGGTTATAACCAAGAAATGTCTTGCAATGAGACTGCCTTTAACTTTAGTCAAATATTTTAGCTGTAAGTAGGTAAAAATCCTTTTAAGACTGATCAAAGAGTAAGTTTAATTTCTGCTAAAAATTGCACTTTAGAACTTCCTATTAAAGTGACAGTAAAAGTGACAAAATAAATAAGTACTTTCCTTACGATCAAACGTTGAAGGAAGGCTTCATTTTTACTTTACTTGAAAGTTTCTCTTTAATATTTGTACAAAAGATTGGTAAAATATTCTGGTTATAGAGGATTAAATTATTCTTGAACAATGAGCCACTCGAAAAGGGTTTCTTTCCTTTTGTAATTTTTCATAAAAATTTCGTACCCTAAAAAATAAGGCAGTGATCTGGCGATTGACAAGTAGATTTCTCTTACGTGGTTTATTGTAAAAACTCCTCAACCAAAGATCGTGTATAAGCACCAAATCCTCTAGAACACTAAACAGCATGTGTAAGAATCAGCTCCAGATTTGATAAACAGTTCTATTATCGTACAGGGGATCTAAATCACACTTATAATAAAGTTTTATTGTCGTACAGGGGGTCTATGAATGAGCTCGTGCTTTGATAAACAGTTTATCTTGTTTTCAGGAGGTGTACAGTCAGCTCGAGCTTTGATAAACAATTTCTATTGTTGTACAGGGGATCTACGAATCAGTTCGTGCTTTGACAAACAGTTTCTATTATGATACAGGAAGTGTAAGAATTAATTTGATTTTTGACAAACAATTTCTCTTGTCATAAATAATGAAGGAAAGACTCAATATCACCCGGAAATAAACAAGAAAAAGTTACTTAATTATGGGTTCCGAAATTTTGTCGCTGTGATTCTGTAGGGAATGGATCTTTGGGTGTATTTTGTATACGAGCTTTTATGATGCTTAAATTCTTCAATCTCAACATGTATGTGTTTTTTTTTTTCATTATCGTATATACATTTTTGTTTACCCACAGACCTGCAGAATCCAAGTGATCCCACCTCCAAATTATCGTGGGCCACCTCCACAGGGTCCACCGCCCCAAGGCTATTAATGTAAGTGAATATAAGGAGTGAAATGTTTTCTGTTGTTTCTGACAACGTGAGTTATGCAGTTTTATTCTACACTATTTGTTGTTGCTTTCTTGTGTGTAATGCTTTCTGATTTGTCACCAAACAAACAAATTCAAATGTCGCGTTACTTTTTTTTAGTTTAAAATCGGTTTAAAAAAAGATATATTACATTAACACAAAATAAAGTACGCTGATTTTATAAACAGTTCGGAAAATATTCATAATTTTCATGTGTTTACAATTCGTGCACTTGTCTTGTCTACTAAAAAATTTTAAAAAATGGTATCTACAAAATTAGTACATAGTGAAAATTTTTATGAGTATTTTTATTTTGGGGGTGGGCGTGCGGAATATTCACACTTAGAATTATAGTATTGGCATTTGAACAAGAAACTTGTATATAAAGCCTTTCTTGATTAGTAGCGACTCTTGGCAATAGCTGGAGTTTCTACTGCAACAGCTGTATAAACTGTAAACCAAGTAGCTCGATCATTTATTTGATGTTTGTATTTTCTCCACCAGGTGCTGCAGCGCAGAACTTTGAGGCCCCGAGCCAATCTCATAAGATAGAACTATCCCGAATGCTCTAATCTTCAAGGCACCTAACTTGTGTAGATTATATTTTTGAGAGGGAAGCAGTAGATTACCTATCAAGGTTAGCCCTCTAAAGGTTACCCCTCAACTCCCAATGCTGTTGACAAAAGAAGACTTGTTACGTCCTGCTGAAGCTACATTTCTTTTCTGATACAAATAAAGAAAATATAAAGTATTATTCTGCATACTATTCAAATAAAATCTTCTTCTTCTGATATTGTTATAAAGATGTTTCTTTATCAAACAATGAATAAAACATATATATATATAAACACGTCCTAGAGATGCCTCAAGTAACGATGTATAGTTTCAGAATAATTATATTAAAGTGTGGAAAGGATAAAACACTCTTTAAAACCAGACATTTGGAGAATAAATTAAAATACAACTAAGCTGAACTTTAAACTGATACCAGTTCAATTTAGGCTTAATGTCAGTATTAATTAAAATCAGTGGAAGCTGTATTTAATGTACATGGTGTATTGTTACGTCTCCGTTTGTTAATTAACTTTCCGTAACTTCGTTCCGACGAAACTTTAGCG